CTTTTTCGTTAGGTTTTCTCTGAGCGTTTCCTTTCCCTTTTTTGGGATAAATAACGAACGGTGGCGACTCTTCTGTCATTGTCGGCCTCGTTTTTTGCAATAGCGGCAACGCGACCCTTTTGGGTTGTTTTCTCCTGGACGGTAGATTGGGAAGATGCCATTGTTGTTGAAAAAAGGGGATTTTTTTTTAGTAAAGGAAACTGAAGGAAAAAACAAGACGCTTGAGATTCTGGAGAGTGTGAAAAATTTTACAAATGGGCCAAGAGAAGTATTTATAAACGTTCGGGAGTCCCGAGAAGTGAAATCCACCGTTGAAAACAAAAGGATAGTGGGACGCGTGTCTGTCTGTGGAAAAAGGATATGAATGGACAGCTATGGTCAGACCATAAATGCATGTTCCCAAGAACAAAGTAATGATGAAAACAGCTGACAAAGATGTTAAATGATTTATCATGATAGCATGATGTCATAAAACGTGGGAGGTAAATAAATGAACAGTTGAGTCACTAAAACAAGTAGTGGGTGCTTTGGTCAGAGCCATGCAAACTAATGTGCGTCGAAACGGTGAAGGAAGAAATTACCTTCCTACCAAACTGGCGAAAGGACATTTCTTGGGGGTAATTTGTTGGCTCTAAATATTCGATGCTAGTCAAATCCAGAAATATCTTAGGTTAAAATATCACGTCAGGTATTCTAAACATTTTGACGCAACAAAGGAGAATCCCCGTCGAAGAACATTGACTAAAGTTGATAAAAATGCTAAGTGTTAGGAAACGCTCGACGGAAAGGCAATGCTGAGAAGAACAAAGGAAGTTATTATCAAAATTGGAGGGAACTGTCAGGCATTCAAAATTCAAACTAAGTAAGAAAGAGTGGGAACGGTTGAGATAAGGAAAAGCGCCAAAAGAACATATGCGGTTTAAAACTGTCATATGGTAGTTATGTTATAGCACTATAAATAGATGGAAATTCTATGTAATAGGTGTGTTCATTTTGTACTAGTCACTCCGAAACACTCAAAGTACCCATTTGTAGCGAAATGAGTTAGCGAGAATGCATGTGATACAACACCAAACTCTTTTTATCTATGTGAATGATTCGCCTTTACCCTGTATGAGTAGTTGCTCTTTCTAGAGTCTAACTTTCAGCATTTATGACTAATTCTTTCCTTTAAACTCTTCCAGTTTTATCTGGAGACCCCCTAGTCGAACGTGAAGTTCAAATTAGAGTTATCTTTCAGTCATTTGTCATCCTGCACTTTTACTCCCAAAGTCAGTTATCTTTTAAGGTCATTTATGTTACCAAGTTTTTATAAGTCGAACGTGGATTTCACATTACAATCTGTTTGCACGTTTACCTTGTCATAATTTCTTTCAAAGTCCCTTTTAAACTTTTTCAGTCTTTCATTTAAAGGTCCCCTGGTCGAACGTGAAGTTCAGATTGAAGTTATTTTTAACGCATTTAAGTTCAAGTCTTTATTTTACCAAGGGTTCATAGTCGAACGTGGAGTTTGATCGTAATCTTTGTCCCCTTTACATTTCCGCATGTTACTTTCGAAGTCTTTTACTTTAAAAGTCATTTACCATTCTTGTTGGTATATTTTGATGCATTACGCACCTTTTTAAAGATTTGATAGTCGAACGTGGAGTTCAACTTAAGATCTCTTTTGCTTGGCACATGTTATAGAATTTCGTATGGTCGATCCTGCGAGTTAGTCAATTTTGCATTAAATTGATAGATCAGAGGTTGTTTACCAAAAATCACGGTAAACAACTTCGAAATTGCTCATGCTTGTGAAAGACTGTTTAAAATTTTTAAAGATAAACTTGCGAAATTGTAAAGTTGCAATAAAGATAAACTTCAAAGTAAAAGTGTAGTAAAGAGATAAATGGTAAATTGGAAATAAATTTTTATTGAAATGAATGTGGTGTTTCACATGTACATTTATCAATGAAAACTCTTTTCTCACTTGACTTATATACTTTGAGTGATTTTTTTAGTATTTGTACAGTAATGAACACACGAAATCCTAAACACTAAGACTCTTATTTATAATATGTCAAAAATAACTGTTTACAACGGATATTCCTCTAAAAATTGACACGTTTTGCTCTGCATGTCTTCATTTTGCCACAGCTCTCCACGCGCCTTTTCTTGAGAAACGGATAAGAACAAAAGATAGTTATTATCTGTATTTTGAATTTCAAAACTACTGTCAAAAGAGAGCCACTTACACCCTTTGTCGAAGTTGATGTCCAAACTTAAAAAATATTTCTAAGTATTTTTCCAGCATGTCCTTCTCATGAGGACTTCTTCGACCAGGATCCTTGCATATGCTCCTATCGAATTCAACAACTCAAGAAACATTTATTTTTTGCTTAGTATCCGTAAACAAAAGTCTGACGTAGAAATTCTCAGCCAATAAGTCTATGATGAATGTAGATAACTTAGACACAATGAATTAAGTGGTGTGTTGAAATTATAATTTCTTGTTTGAAGCAGTGTAGCTCGACAGAAACAATGACTAGTCAAAATTAGCCTAAGGTGTGTGTGTGTGTGTCTCGAGTTGTTTAGATGTCGAAGTGTCAAAGCAGGTTGCTTGACACAGAATTTCAACTTAGACTAAAATAGTAATTTTAGACTTTTGTAATTTTGGGCTTTCTTCTATTAAGAGAGTAATCTCTATTTTGTAATAACTTGTATTCACAGATTTTTTTACAGTTGCAAAGTGAATAAAGAAGTTTTCCACAGTTTGTGAGTGGAGATTCCGCAGTTGAGAAATCATCTCCTTCTTCCTTTAATTTTGTCAATCTCTTTTTTTTCTCATTTTTCATTAACAGTTGTTGCGCATAATCTTTCTTGAAATCAAGATTGGTTAGAAATTCTTAAAATTTTAGATTAATTTCAATAACATGCTCGCTCTTTAATTGATTAGATACAAGTACTAATCGACTAGATAGTCAGACTTCACTTTCCTAATTGATTATGGTGCTTCATAATCAATTAGCTAATGGCCAAAACGGTTTCTAAAAAAAATTTAAAAATAAATGCGTGTATTTCTTTAATACCTTGGGAATTAGTCAGATTTAATTTCCACATGATTGATCTTAAACAGATAAACAATCAAACACAAGATGAGATGAGTTGTTAACATGTTTCAATATGTTGATCTTTAGCATTTGAGATAAACAATAAAACACAAGATGAGATGAGTTGTTAACATGTTTCAATATGTTGATCTTTAGCATTTGACATTAAACTTACATTAGTATGCTATTTTCTTTTAATAATTATCTTGAGAAGAAAGTTGATGTCGAATAACTTCGAAAGTTCATAGCGAAGGGTGGAGAAGATAAGGTGCAATATATGTCAAAGGTGTAATATATTGCACCTAGGAGCTTGAAATAAAAGAGTTCGAAGTTGATGTTTAGATGTTTTGAAATAAAAGGGTACAAGAATTTCAAGGGTGGAATAAAAGTTGATGTTTCGATGTTGAAGTGTAAAAAAAAACACTTTATAAATTGAAACAAGCTTCTAGGAATTTGAAATAAAAGAGTTGACAAATTCTTGTACACTTGAATGTGGAATTTATGTCAAACGTGTGAATCAAGACAATTTGCTCATAATAAAAAACAATCAAATGGAGAATGAAGAGTTCAATAGTAAATGAATGGTGAATTTGAGGAGTTGAGATACTTCCTTAGCTTGAATTTGTTGAAACAAAGAAATTGTGATCATCAAAATAAAATAAGTTCATAATTACTATGGGACACTCTTATGCTATTCAAAAATGTTTCTTTAACAGTCCCAATTTTAAAATTTGGATGCATCTATTGCACACCAAACCGCATCATCAATGAGCCATTCTTATGAAAATTTGAGTTTGAAAATTTGCTGGGTTTAAGTGAATCCAAATTTTAAAATTCGAACTTGTTTTTATCTTTGATTTGAAAAAAAATATATATGAGTGGTTATATTTTAAAATGCATCTGAATATTAAAATCCAAAATTTAAGAAGATTATTGAATTCTCACCGTGACGAGTGTGATATACATAGGATGGATGGAGAGAGCAATGTCCAACTATTATATTATGAACACAAAGTTGCAGGCAGTACTTTATACAAGCATATAGGTGGTTGTTTGAGTTATATGTGCAACTCAGTGTTTCAATGTGAGAATATATATATATATATATATAAAAGAACATTTTTGTTGTGGAGTTTTTTTTCCTAACACTAACGGATGAATTAATAGTACAAAATATTGGAACATGTGTTCAACCTCCTGAACTCATCAATTTTATGGTGTTCTAAAGAAGAAAAATGTTGTGACATCATCATAATGTGAAAATGAATATATCTCTATATGGAATGCAGCGTTTCAAGGAATTTGGTTGTAATCTTTGTTGTAACAAATTAAGGTTGGCAAAGAAGAGGAAGTCAAGCTTACAGTGGAAAAAAAAATTGCCATAACTTAACTAAAAAAGTCCTTATCTCCATAAATGAAATGCAAAGAAGTGAGTATATAGAAGAAGAAAAAATCCAGTCTTCCCGTAATCAAGTAGAGATTAGATTACTTAACATACTGAATAACTGAAATGCAGGTTGAAGATTGAAACATTTAAGAGATGAGAAAGAATGCAAGGAAAGGGATAATTTGAATTGGTAAGGATAGATCATGATTTGAATTTCACTCACCGTTACAGCCCCACCATCTTTAAATGCTAAATCCTACCTGAAAGAGCTGTCCTGAAACGGCAGAAGTCATCATTTTGCTATATTTGAAATGGTTAATCTGAAGAAAACCGTGTTTTACTCCGGAATGCACTAGTAGTATCGAACCACTCCTGTAGTTCTAATCTCAGGATTTTATACTTGCAACAAAAATTAATCAATTCCTTTTACTAATCAACTTCAGTTGAATGAATTCTAGAAACATTTACACAATAAGATATAAGGCTTTTGTGGCTCAGTAATCATCGCTATTATCAATCAGAACCTAACTGCTCGGGCCAGCTTCATCATGATTCTTGCAACAAAACCCACTGTCACCGTGATCATGGGGATGTTTATCAGAGCTGTTTGGTACATCATCTTCATCACTATCATCTTCATCGAAGGGCTTCTCTTTATGAAAGATACAACACTTCTTGGAACTCTTTTTCTGCATGAACTCATTGTCCACAGTGCCGTCTTTCCACGAGACCTTCTTCTTCTTGCGATTGAGGGGGAGAAAAAGGACTTCAGGTTGCTGCTGTTCCTGCTGAGATGAAGAGGATGATGGAACTGAGCTTTCAATTGTTATGGTGGTGGTGCCAGTAACAGAAGGGGAAGACAACACTACTTGTCGGATGCTGCCTCTGCGTCTGTCCATGAGTGGCAAAACAGAACTAGGAGAGACACGAGTTAATGAGATCTTGACCGAGTAATTTCAAAGGTTGCTTTGTGTCTCTTTTACTCACCTTTACCCAATTTCATGAAATAAATAAAAAAATAATGTTAGTTCTTAATAAACAATGTTTGGCTTAACACTTATATAAAGACAATGGTATGATCAAATTTGCATTTATACTCTGTCAACAAAAATATATTCATAAATATTATAATAATAACAGTAACAACAATAGTAAAAAAAGTGAAGAGAGACATCTTGAGAGGATGGAAAAGCAGTTTCTGAATGTGAACGGGAAATCAGGAACCTAATAACATACAAAACAAATTACAGCGATAAAAGAACCTAAGCATTACACAACTACAGCGGTATAGCAGCTTATTGAGCTAGAATCTTACTGAACATGCACATACAACAACTGCTAAATGAAAACAAAACAGGAACAGAAGGCATCCCAATTCAGATCCAATAAGCACTACAGCAACTCAATCAGATCACTAGTGGAAAGTGAACACAAAAATAAAAATGGTATCAAAATTATATTTGCCCAAGGGAACACCGCATGCATACCAATCTTTAACCGTAAATATTTTTTGAAATTCAAATTACTTACTTCAACTCCTTAGTTTAAAGAATAATCCAGCATAACTAAAAGAATAATCACCCGCCACTCTCTAGCACATATTTGTGAATTTTCCATCAAATACAGCCTGAATAAGAATCTATATTTCCCATTCTAATCAAGTCCAGTAAAAAAGGAAGAATCTTATATTAAATACCCACAAGCACACAAATCAATTCCCCAAAGAATAGAACCATGAATGGCCTAAATAATGTCGTAAAAGCGTGTAAATTGCAGAACTGGTATTTAGTTAATGATTCTAAGAGGTAAGCAAAGAATTGTGTGAATATATAATCAGTTATCTCACAAAGGCTCATCACATATCAAAACACATTTGCAGATTGAACTTGGCCCCCAAAAGGCTGAAACTCACAAGCTCCAATACATTTGCCCCAAAATAATACAAGTTCAGTATACCTACATCACAAGCTTGTTCAATCCAAATTCACATCTCAATCAAATGTATGATGAATATCCTACAAAAATCCAAAGCATAACCAACTAGAAAATCAATTATTGTTGAGCCTAAAAAACAATGTCTAGAAATGAAAGCAAAATTAGTTATCAAAAATAGAGCCTTATCATCCCAGGAAAGTGGCCTTCTATTATATATTTGTTGACAAGAAGAACAAAAATCCTAAATACCTGACCTTTTTAACATAACCAAAAAATTAAGCAACTAAAAAGATCATAACAAGCAAGCACTAAAAGGGATAACAGAAACATCGCATAACACATCAATTCATGTTAAGATATACCCAAATCTCGTCACAGCAAACAACAATCCTCTAAATCCATTCAGCTAGATAAACACAAGAAAAGAAAAATCAATAAAAAAAGAAACCCATTTCTAAACCTAATTTACATTTTCTCCTAACAAATTTCATCAATTTAGCAAAGCCACACTGCAACGGGAGCAAAAAGCATATCAAAACCTAAACATCAACAAAACCCTATTTTTTAGCACAAACTATAGGTTAAACACAGAAACCCTAAATCAAAAATGAATCAACAAACAAAATTTCCCATCCTCCTATTTCATCAACAATTTTTACTAATATACCCACAAACAATGTATTAACAATGAACAAACAGAAGAAGCCCTATTACAAATCGAATGATCTTCAGCACTCGATAAACCAGTTTCGATAAATCGAATGATGAAAAGAGGTACGAGGAAGGGGAAAACCTTCTATTGTAGAGACGGAGGAGATTCAGATTAGGTCTTGCGTGGGAGAAGGAGACGAAGAAGACGAAGATCGAAACGGGCGGCGATTTCAGGTTGATGATCAACGGTGAGAGAAAACAAGAATAAATGCACTCTGCCTTTTGTGAAACACAATTTCTTATGAAGAGGAACAAAATAAAGGGGACAAAGAGAATCAATTCATTTTTAAGAATAACTTTATTTTAAGAAAAAATACAAAAAATTTCAATAAATAAATAAATTATTTTCAGTGGAATAATTGTAGCATTAATACACTTGCAAATCATAGTAACGAAAATAAGTGGAGTGAAATGAAAAGATTCACCTAACCCCTAATATTAAACAACTAAAAGGATAGTTTACTATTGGCTAACCTCATAAGAGAAGTTTTTATCATTGTATTTGAATCATAGTTATATTAACTTGATTTTTTTTTAGCAAAGATTAAAATTACCAACTTTATGCCAAAATATAATAGAATTTCTCATCTTTCAAATAGATCAAACATAACAAGTCAAATTAAGATAAATTGACTCCCTTAATTTACATTTTTTTATATAGCTAAATTGATATAAGTGATTGTCCAAATTGTTGGACAACACAGTAACTCTAACCAATCTAATATAAAGTACCATACTTTGTCAGAAAGAAAAGAAAGAGAATTTGCAAAATAAATGTTGAGTTGATTCCTTTGAACCGCAACTATTTAATATACATTTGTCTACCTAATACATTGATATCATGTTTCATCAAATTGTCTTTTTTTAGGGGTTGAAATCCATTTCATTTCTTTGTTCCTCCATTTTTTTCATTTATATAGTTTTTATGTATATAAAATTAACTAAATATTAATTATATGTCACATGTCTTAGAAATGTGTGCTATTTACACACAAAACTATAGTAATGTAGAAAATGGAGGGACAAAGAAATGGAGTGGATCCCAACCCTTTTTTTAGAAGTCGATTATTCAAGATCCTCCTAGCAAACAATGATACTTTCAATGGGACCAATTTGTTACATGTCACATCATCATTTGTTGTCAAGACTCTAACATAATTTATCGACAATACCTTATAAGCGTCTTTAACTATTGTCCAATGATTTTCAAATTAATGAGTCTTTTTCGTTTTCCTATAAAAAACGTTTGATAATATCAAAAGAAAACTTTTTTGTCATTTCCTCTTCCCATCGAAATATCATCAATCTCCAATCTTAGTGACTCATTATCTTGATCGAAAACAAACTTAGCATTTTTTTCAAAATCGTAAATTTATCATTGTCAATTCATAGAGCTTGTCAAACTTGTCCCTCAACTTCCCACATTTCTAACCCGGGATCTAACAAATAAATGATTATTTTCCATCCATCACCTTCTTACTTAACCTCTTTGAGAATCAATTACCCTCGTTACCTCATCCACACAATAAATATCCATCCACCAACTAGATTCCTTCTAGTGCCTCTACCCACCTCACCCTTCACCAACCCCTATTTACATGGGGAAAAAACTTTAACAATAACCCTTCTTTACGATCCCTACACCTCGAACACCATTTACATAGAAAGATCTAGTTAAACAGCCTAATATTATGAACACTTAACCATCTTGATGACACTCACAATAGTTTGTGTCTCACTTAACCTAATGAGTCTACGAGTATCATCGCTCCCCCATAAACAAGATTTAAAAAGAGATTCAATTTTAGAAATGGTACCTAAAGAAGAAATGAAGTAAACCGGAAGGGGGCGTAAAAATTTAATAATAACAAGACATCCTCCCATGAACAAATTACGGTTTTTCCATTCATGAAGTGTTTTGTAAATCCTATTAATTATCAGATTCTAAAAAGAAAATCTTTTGGATTATCATCAATGTCGCCTAGATATTTGAAAAGTAAGTTTTCTCATTTGCAATATAACACGGTGGTTGCTTCTTCAAGCCAGGAATTATTAATATTCATATTCACAAGAAGACTTTTGTGAAAATTTACCCCAGACAAAAGATCAATTCAAATAACATATGAATAACTTTAATTGTAGACTAGCTTTTCAAGCTTACAAATAAAGTATCATCCATAAATTTAAGATAGAGTGTTCAAATCTGGATTTCCTCAAATGTTATAATCCTCAAATAAATTAACCTCCTTTGTTGCTTTTATCATTACAGTGAGACATTTTATTGACAATAGAAATAGAAAATGCGATAAAGGATTTCCTTACTATAACATGTTCTTCAAATAAAATCACTTCATGGAATATCCATAACCTAAATTGGCATTAAAGTTAACCTCAAAATCCACCTATCTAATTCCTCCATATCTCGAGAAGTTTCATAGACTGTAATACCAAATTCAAATAATCTCATTCCAGTTAATCATATACCTTCTTAAAAATCAACATTAAAATGTAAAGCTTTATTCTTTCTTCTTATTCTTTACTTACGTCATTCATCACTTCATTTGCAATTAAAATTTAATTTAGAATTTGTCTTTAATCTAATGATTATATAATTTCCCTACTTATATTTTATGGTTTTTAGTTCAAATAAGTTTTTAATATTTTTATATAAAATATATTCATGTCATTTCAAAATGAATGATATAGTTAATTATTTAATAAATTAAAAATGTTTATAAATATAAAAATAATAGTATAGGTAGAAATTATATATTTTATATGCATTTGTATTCAAAGTAAAAGAATGTTTAATTGAGAATGATGTATATAGTATTAAAGGTCAATTAAAATAATGATAAGAATTAATATATTAAATATTGTTATAGGCCACATCAACTTACATTGGTCACAAGAATGTCACATAAATCTAACTTGGTCGCAAGAATGGCAACGGGGAAGAATTGAGGTTTAACAATTAAGATGTAGATATGAAGGAATCCAAAAAAAAAGTGAAGCTAAAACAATTACTTGTTCAATTAAATTATGTGTTCATCGGTGAGAAAGATAAATTTCTCACTATTATTAGTTGTAGTCTTAAGTCACTTGAAGAAATAATGCTATAGAATATTCTTATTGTGAAAAATGATACCTTAAAATAAAGTATAAACGATTTCTTTATGATCAAGAAACACACAATGGTTAGGATTAAAGGGGGGGGGGGGGGGGAGAATAAGAACAACAACAACAACGATTG